TGCGACGTACCCCAGTGTCTGTAGCGGCCCCTAATGCGTGCTCTGACTTCCTCGGCTACATTTCTGATGCCCTTTATCAGCTCCTATCAGTTGTTATCATCCTTTTCACCTACCATCGCGTTCCCGTCCCTCCTAAATTACTTGCTATCACTATTAGCAATTACTGGGACTAACGACTAACTATGGCTGAGACGCGTACAAGTTTCGTGGCACTTCCTTTCTAGGGCCAATATCAGCTATTATCAGTCGCTATCACTTTCTTTTACCCTCCACACATTTCTCACCACTTAGCTCCGCAACTCGAAAGAGGCTCAGAATTCGGTCAAAGGCAGACATCGAACGAACTTAGCGGATTATTTACGGTAGGATTGCTTCAGCAACATTACTTAGCCTACCTTTTATCCCCAGCGATCGATGTTAGGCTGAATGGAGTTAATATTCTTTGTAGAAGTCCAGTATCATCGTTATGTCCTCTACTGCGATGGAAAGCTCTCAGAGAGAGCCGTTGTACATACGTTGCATGACTTTAGTGGCTCGAAGGGCTGCTGTTGACCGCGTTGTGTACTCGTCGGACAAAACGATGCTACGTGGAATTTCCTATCTGACTGTACTATAGCAGGAAAGAACCTCTTCCAGGACCAATTTTTGGAAAGCCCACCTGGGAGACTAGGAGGGCACTAAACAACAGAAGCTCTGCGGGCGTTCTTTACTAGGTTTGCTACCTTGGAGGTAATTTTGTTACTTTCTACTCAAGGGAACAGTACTATCACTTGAAATCGATTACCATGGAATTCTGGTGGCACTACAAGTTCGTCCGGAATAAGTGACAGCATAGGGTAAAGCAGTAACCTTCAGTTTTTCAGTGAGGATAAAAAAAGGATAAAGTCTGATCAATCCTGGGTGAGATGTGGCATTGGCATCTACTTTCCTTCCAGAATGAGTTAGTGACTAGTGAATGCGATGCGCCTAGACAAATACTCGCTGGCGGAGGGGCAGCTGATGTACAATTGCTGTTGCTATTCTCTCAGACGAATCTGGTACCGATTCATCGTCCCCGGAGGGTAGAAGGCCTGGTTGACCTGAACGGGAGTCGACCCGGGGTTTTCGAACCTGGGACCGCGCAAGCGGTAAGCTCGCACTTCGGCATACATCATTCCGCCCTTCTTTCATGCGTTTTTTGCTAAATATATCTTCGGATTGTGATGGGAAATACCGAGATGAAATTCCATCCTATTTTTCTGTTAGTTATATCAGCAATGGGCATCATGCAATAGGAGGCACCCTCGCGCTTCGGACGCCGTAAATATTTCTTCCTCACTTTTATTTTGGAAACCGCGTGCAGCGTGCAGAAGTCGCGTGCAGCTGTGAGAAATGCGCCTTACACCCTCGTCTTACCCTCCGTAAGGGCTTAGTTATGGAAATGCTGGAACGTCTTCTCACCCCTAAATGATTATAATACACCATTAGCTCTGACCATTAGCTTTGCATCAGCCCGATTGAACTATTAGTAAGCCTTCTGGTGGTTCTCCTACGCTCTATATCCCGGAGTGGAGCGACCGCCGCATCTTTTTCGGGAGGCCGACTGTGGCTTTTCGAAGGAGCTTGCCACTGGACAATTGCGATCATGACTTTGTCCAGTCAACAAGACGAGGCCGGTTGTCGTCACCATGCAAATATCTCGTAAAAAACGCATCTTACGCCATGCAGAAATGAAATGCGCGGCCACGCTTTGCCCGTCTTCGGGTTGCGGAACTTACTTGTATGTGACTGTTCCGCCCCAGCTTTCCTTGGAATGTTCCTTTCTCACCAGTACATTTATCCTCTCTTGGCACTCTAACACTGCACTCCCACCTGCACTGGTGCACGAAACATGATTTTCTGAGTCGTCACTACATCTGGCGTTACCAAACCAATACAAACTCGAACACTGGGCTACATCGATCACGAATACTTCACTTTGCACTCCTTGAGGAAATGGCGCCATTTGCACCAACGTCTTGAATGGCGCCAATTGCGCCAACATCTTCTTCATGAAATCTTTTTGGTTTTTGGCGCTATATGGCACCAGTATCAAGAGGGAGTGCTATATTTGTGATGAGGTCATCAGTTAACCCTGGTGGACGAGTTCATATCGAATTTGTGGGAGGTAGCGGTGCCACCAGCTGAGTCACGTATACGTTGAGGAATCCTTAACAAGAGGGGGGTCGTATCCAGGTTGGCTGGAAAGCGAGGGTGGGAAGGAAAGTATTCGAAACAGTCAGTAGTCAATAGTGGTATTTGACCTCCATATTAAGTTGATTTTCCATGTTAGTTTCCATGTTGATCAGTCCCTCCTAAGGGTAAGCCATGCATTCTATTTCCGTTGGGAATCTCTTTGTAATATTTTGTAAGCGATTCGAGTCGATTCGGTAGAGCTATACAGAACATAAAAACGTGCAACTTATCGTTCTTCTCCTCTCAGGGGTCCGCTACCAGTAAGCAGACTGTGGAGACATGGAGCCCAGTTAGCCCACGCAGAACCGTTCCCAGAGCTGGCTTTTTGTCCGAGAGTGTATAAATTGACCTTTTGTCCGCGGGTTTGATAGGAGGCGCCTCCTCCAACCCAGCCCACCAGATGTCCCATTTTGGAAGAAACGCTCGCTATGATTCTAACGAAACCAGCAATAAGATGAGTAAAAAAACGAGAAAATCTTCGTTGGAGAAGTTCCTTGGGGAGTGCCATTGCGATCGCTGGGGACGGTGAGCTCTTTTTGCTCCTTTCCTTCCTTGGGGTTTTTGGGGGTTTCCAAGCAGTGGTAGTTAAAACTTTATCTGGCTACACATGATGTGCAGCTGTCAGGGCCGTTGTTCCTCAGGTGATCAGTTGTAAACTCTGGATCCTCTGCTGCGATGGAAAAGCCGCTCAGTGAGACCGTTGAAAATATGTTGCAGGGTTACACCCAGTTTCAATGCTTCGTTTATGTTTCGTGTGGCTTGCTGTGTTTTCGTTTTATTGTGTCGGGAAGGTGATTTTCAGGACATGAATCCATCTCAGGCTTTGCAAACATCAGTCACTATCGAAAGAATTTTTGGATAGCTCACCTGGGAAATCTGGGAGGGCGCTATGCAAGGCGATTGGCGCAATGCTATGCAACTTCTAAATAGCTCGAGGCATGATGTGATGGAACTGTCGAATGCTAATCTTTCTCAAAGGGCAGTGCCTCAAAGAGCAGGGCGCTGATTGATTATGATAAGGGTGCCAGGAAAGTCCACGCATAAGGTTAGGGATTCAAGCTAATCCCGGAGGATTGGCGCTTGCCTTTTATCACTGATTAGCGGCGACTTTTTGATAATTTATTAGCTCTCGGGAATGTTCGCACTAATTTCTGCCCATCGAGGTTCTGGTAAGGTAATATGAATTCACATGTCAGCTCACCCTGCCCCTCCCAGCTTGACGGGTTTTTACTGGAACTGTTTAGAAGAAATGGCGAGAAGAGTTAAGATTGCAGTGTTTTTCGGCTTATATTTTGAAGGGCGTGTCGCTAGAGGAGGTGAGGGCGGACAGTTCCCGCCCTTTGTGGCATACTCCATGCGGCTGGAAGAGTGGTAAGCTGATGCACGTAAGTCATGAATGACCACACTCCTGTAGCGGAGGAGCTGCCAAAAAGCTTTTCGTTCATTCGACTACAATCAAGTACGGCAAGCACTAGTAGAGCGACGAAGGGCTGTTTGGCCTCGCGAATTTAAACGCAGGGCCAGTTTGTCCCCCCCCATCGTTTGCAGGGATCATGGCTATTTATAGTTGTGGGCAAGTGCAGTTAGTCCCTTCTAACGCCCCCTAATTCTCCTAATTCACGACTGGGGCAAAAGTTCTTTAGCTAACCACAGAACATGAGTAGCGAATTGCGGTCCTCTATCGAAATCAATTATCTCAGCCAAAAACAGGTGGAGAAATAAAAACGCCGATCTTCAGTTCTTTTACATTCACAGCGACTTGTGTGCCATTGCCCTCAGGGCCCAACAGAAAACCAAGTGCTGGTCCTATTTTGACAGCCTGAAGAGCCAATGATACACCCGTAGGAAACGTAAAAGTTCGACTCGGGCCCCCGACTCGACGGTATGTCGAGTTCAATGGCTAATATTTACCAGCTACATGGTCTCTTCTTGTATTTGCAGCGTCTCCCGACCCACATTTTTGAGTTAGGAAAGGCACAGGGCTATGATAAGAACCTTGTGGTCAGAAATGGTACTTTGATATGGTCCTTGGTGAAAAGACTGCACCAAAAGGCTATCTGGACGCTGTTCAACGACGAGGGAGGGCATTTTGCACCTTCGCTGCTTTACTAGTTCCGGTTCACAAGTTCCGCTCTGGTGAAACCTGTGAACTCTTGTGAAGCTGGAGCAAGCTCGTCTAGCCACCATGGTAACCCGTCAACTCTTGTATTGCTCACGAAAGAGCTCTCTGGATGGCTCGGAATGCCCCCCCCCACGTCACCAAACTGCGCCGAATATCTGAAATCAGTGATGCCATACACATGAACAGTTAATACGAAAATGAACTAAATGGTGAAATAGCAAAGTCTATAGGGGCTCCAGTATAAACCTAACGAATCATCCTTATTTTCAGCGAGGTGTAGAGATAGCAGTACCGTATCGGTTATATCTACCGCGACGGTTTTTCCCACAGTTCTCATTATTGGCCTCAGTGAAGCCGATGGATCGACGAGGTGGATATCTCTTCGCTATCGTCAACCCATACGACACCCTAGTGGACGTCGGTGTACTGCTGGAACCGGCAGGTAAAGAGCTTTTTACTTTTCGAAAACTCCTTTCAGACAAATGTCCTTCCACCCTTGAAGACACATTCCGCGATAACTAGGTGGGCGGAGAATCGCATCCTTTTCCGCCTAGAGCCTGGTAGTTGTGGACCGCGCCCATCTGACTATCATGGAATGTATTTTAAGAAACTTCATCGGCACGCCAATATAGTTCCAAAAAGTACTGTTCCAAACTATCCTTCCGGTACGAGATGCTGAAAGCCAAAACCTCACAGTTTCGGCGATTCAGAGGGTTTCAGAGCTCTGACGAAATCGATTTCCATTAGCTTGGACTTTTTGCGGTTATCAGAGGCATTTAACTGACTTTCTATTGTTAATTACTCTGGTTCCACTCCCTTTTGCTTACACCATATTACTCACATATTACTATCTCCTATTTGGGAACTGAGGCAAGAATTGGCCTTTCTGTGGCAAAAAAGCCGAAAATATTTACTCGGGTGATTACTCGGTTTATTCCATCGGTTCCGGCCAGAACGACATTTCCCTGCATTATTCATCTCGCCGCGGATGCGACGTCGCCACGAAGCGATGGCATTCATTCTTGGTGCCCGCGAGTTCGATGCAAATCAAACTGGACGCAGATCGCCTTTGAAGTCACCAAAGACTCAGTTACTCTCTACTTCAAGTGTGTTCGATTTGCTGAAAGAGAGGTGAGCTTATGTAGAAACTTTCTGCGATCAAAGGTTCGTCCGTTAAAGATACCAAGGCGCAGTATTAACCAGGGTGAGACGGCATTTTCCTAAACCCACTGTGAAGGTCCCGTACTGCTGCCAAAGTGCTTCACGAGTTTCATTTTCAAACCTTTTTTGGTACAAATCTCGAGCTCACACACTTCGGGTGTCTTTCCCGCAGGCTTTGGCGAGCAGCATTCTGATTCCCTCCTCAATCCCTTCCTTAAACCATTCTGCATAGACACTGAGGCAAGAACTGTTAACCTTCACTGCGCCTCCTCTTCGCGATCCGACAAAAATATAAAACCATCTTCAAAATGTTGTCCGAGTGGGCAAAGCCTGTCCCTAGTAACTTTTGAGCCGACGGAGATGGTTTGACCCACAACTGGATCGCCGCGGGCCACATGGCTCAAAATCGCGTGGTGCCATAAGCGCCGACGCCAGTACATACACCTCGAGTCACTATTTTTCTGAAAAACTGCCCCCCCCCCCCATAATGTCAAGTCCTGACCAGAATATCACACTAGCTGGAAACGCCTGGTCCATGCTGTACAGGTGCTAGCGTCACAGGTAGCTTCGGCGCCAGAGCTATCTATAGCGCTAGCGTAGACTATGACTAATCCCTGACATTGTTGTACAGCCTGCGTGGGCTTGCACTCAACTTCCTAACAATTCTGAAATGCGCGGCTCATGCCGAACGTCGGAGAAATGATTCTATTCCTCACTGATTTTCATTCTTATTATTTATTACCAATATTTTTTCACGCTACTGCTTCTTTCTAACTACATTTAATTACTATTATTATCATTATTTCTTTTTGTTCCAGATAAGCGATCTGCCTCAGTTGACTATGGAGGACGCTCACAAGCTCTACATAGGAAGTGCTGGACCGATCCTTGGATCTGGATTTGAGGTTCACTTTTTCGAATAGCTTTTCAGAGGCTCGATGACAGGCTGGCACGAGAATGTTTGAAAGGAAAGGAGCAGGAATCAAGCTGGATCCTACAGTCTACTGCACTTTGGAGGGGCACGATGTTTATTCAGCCAGAATTCATCTGCCAACGATTTTCATCACAACGTCTCTCGGATGGGTCGTATGGAGTTCTTTTGTCGGTGGCGCACCCTCCTCTTACAGCCCGATACTCATTCACTTGCGCGCGTCACTCAGTCGTTTCTGTTGTTCTTTCTGGGCATCGATAGCTTATGAAAGCTTCTCCGTGTTTCCAGACTATCTCAACAAACCTTTTCGTTCTTCAAGTGGCCTGTTTGCCTTTGGAATTTCGGCATTTTCTAGTTCTATTTGAATTTACACATTTATTTGTATTCTCTTTAGAACAAAACAGGGTTTCCTTCTCATTAGAACATCCATTTGTCCAGTACAATTTGACAGCCACTTGTCGGAGCAGGATAAACTACTCTGATGAACCTCAACCGGAGCACTTAAAATTCCTTCTTTTATTGTTGTCGGAGGCCTTATGGTCCATCAGGCCGAGCGATGCCGCTTCCGTCGTTTTTTGCTGCGCTATTGGCGTCTTCTTACATCAAATGGTATGGAGAATCGGAAGCTGGCTCAGTTCACCATAGGGAAGAAAAGAGGGGAACTTCCAGCTCTCCATCTCACTGCAACCCAAACTCTCATTTTTTAGCTACTTTCCTAGTATTCAGCGGTGGATTGGTGCACTGCTTGGGGGTAACAGGCGTGACACAGATGTTCAGCTTTGGTGCTGTCAGGCCCAATCTGGCATCAGCGCCACAATTCGAGCGTATAATCGAGATCAGGACTTTCGACTGCCTCAAATTTTGATTCAGAAATAGCGTGGTGGAAAGGGATGGCTTGAATTTTGCGGGCGCAGGGTAATGAGTGACTTGT